AACTATACGACCAACAGTAACAAGGACCGGCTAATCAACACCTGGATGATATAACACCTGAAAACACCCCTCAGTACTACCAGGAACGTACTCAAGATGGTTCTTGTGTTGTTATTGGTATTTCATCACCTAGCAGAGAACCAAGCAAAAGTGTCATCTTTGATGCAGCCTCGACCTCTCTCTTATCAATAGAGGAAGGTCTCCCTCGTAAACGACAACGTACTGAAATCGATGATTTGACAACCCAACTGAAGTTGTTTGCATACAGTCGACAGATGATACCTTTTTCCCATACACCCAAGACAAAATCCAAAAGCTATATGTTAGAGAGTGCTATAAAGATGTGTTTGGCTTGCTTTTGGATCAAATTGATCGTGGCATGGAATCATTTGCAATATCTGGAACATCAGGCATCGGAAAGTCACTGTTTTTTGTCTACATATTGCATCGCTTGATGGATGACTTTACCACGAAAACTCTGTCCTTGAAGCCAAACCGAACTGTTTATCAAATGGGATCCTCGTACAAATGCTTTGACTTGCAGCAACAACTCGTCACAGAGCTTGAACTTGAAGTGGCCAATATTGTTTGGAAACAAGATACATTCTACGTTATTGATGGACACACGACTCCAATGCCATCATCTTGTATTGTCTTGTTCATGTCATCTCCTCAGTCTGAAGGATACAAGGAGTTCGTCAAACAAAAAATGGCAAGGGAATGGTATTTTCCTGTTTGGACTTTGGACGAGTTACAGACTTGCCGACGTCATTGCTATCCGTATGTACCCATTGAGACTATCAATGAGAGGTATCGCATGTATGGTGGTGTAGCTCGTTCTGTCTTTGATATTGTATCAAATCCAATGGAGAAAGCTTTGGCTGATGTTGATGCAGTCAAAGGGGTACACAACATTGGATTCACAATCAAAATATCTGCAAATACTCATACATTGCTTCATACCATTGTGTCAGACAACGGACAGTACAGATTCCTGCATGTTGATATTGCTTCAAGATATGTTGGAGAACAACTTTGGCAACATCATTCTGCTCAAATGATTACCAATATGCAGCAAATGTTTGATAGTATTCCAACCAAAATTTCAAGACATTTGTTTGAAATATACGGACACAGGGTTTTTTGTACTGGTGGACAAACTCTCAAATGCAGATGCCTGAAAGATGGTACAGTGACAGAGATCACTTTGGATGCACTCAATGGTCAACGAATTACATTTGGAATAGATACTATCCCTACTGCAGCAGCACTTGATGGCAACTATTACGAACCGACAAATGACAATAATTTTGCAGCAATTGATTCACTCAGTCGACAGGGAATGTTCCAATTTACAGCTGATGATGAACATCCTATTTGTGGAGTTGATATTCTTACAAAACTGTGCAATTTGTATGATGAACCCAAACTTTATTTTGTGGTTCCGCCTCACCAGTTTAAAGGGTTCAAGCAGCTTCACAACACCTGTTTTGCAGCAATTGGTTTAATATGACTGGCTTCATATGCAACACAATGTTGAATTCAATGTTGTTTTGTATTTGCAACAATTGAAACTACACCACTAGAATCATTCATGTCAGGATTTTATATTGATACTAATGCTGACAGAGATTTGTACAATACATACAAACCCAGTCAATCACCAGCATCCACTGTACCACAAACACCTGTGGTCAAGCATGCATGTCTCTCTCAGTCCACTACCACTCGATTTCTCCAGTTTGTCCAATCTATTCAGTCCAATGTCAAATTGCATCATCTTGATCACTTCTGCAATGCTGATGGTGACTGGATTACACGATCTGTGTCGGGTATTTCATCCATGTCATTGGGTGATGAACAGCCATTGGTTCGTCAATCAAGACAAACTGGTCAGTCTGTTCAACAGCAGTCGCTACAACCAAAACCTCATTCGCCTATTGTGCAACAGAATTCAAGTTTGTATCAGTTCGAGTCGGGAATCCTTGAAAATCTGTTGCATGATGTTGATACTATGAATGATACTGTCAGAGTTGGACGCCATGCAAAACAATCGTTTATGTCGAGTCAAGCCTGCGACTCGGATTCCTTGTGTGATGATGACAGCCAAACCGATACTGACAGTGAATACTCCGAGTCCATACACAGCAATGACTCGGATATATCCGTTGATGGATACATTGATTCTGTAAATGATCGCACTGCAACAGTGTTTGATATTGATCAAGAGTCGAGGTATTTGCAAGGCACACTCAGCAACAGTCCTTTGACTTGGTCAAATGGATCACCTAGACGCATGTGGAGAAAGTCATGCGATAGTCAATCCGAAACCAGCAGTGATGAAATTGATACTATTGAATCCATGAATACGCATGCAAACAGTCAATTGATGCTAGATCGTCATGCAGAATTCCGATTTCAGCAGATTCTGAATGGTGATTTCACACAACCATCCAGATCTGTATCTGTCGAGCAAGCCTCCAAAATATCCAAATCAGCACTCAAAACACAACGCAAAAACGATCGTCGCAAATCCAAACAACATGTAAAAAGCCGCCATCATGACTTGACTACTCAAGGTCGTACTTTTGATGCCCAGCTCTCCAATAGCCGCAACCCAACACAGTTCAATGCAGTCATTAAACTATTTCTGCACTCCATCAACAAAATGGTCCATGACTTTGTTGTGGCTAAACCGCAGTATGGACAACTGTCACTTCCACCCATGATGAGTGATGTACGTAAATTTGCAGTGATCCTTGTCAAGCGGTATCAAATGCGTCCAAAGACAATGGGCAAAGCAAGATCAAA